GTCCCTAATAGTACCCTAAGTAGCGGTTTCCTTAAATAGCTAGCGTAGCCCGCCCTATATAGTAGGATAAATATACTTAGCTAGTTACTTAATAGTACACTCTACGTAGCGGTCCTATATATATAGCTAGCTTCTCCGTTTTAGTAGGTAGTTAGTTAGTCGGTTTCGGTAAGTAAGTAAGTAATTCTTTAGTTCTATCGGTCCTATCGTCTTCGTTTAGTTATATAGTTATATAGTTATTTTCAATCGTTTTCGATCAATCTTCGGTTCGGTTTTCGTACTAGGGTTGTCCTACCGCTCGTAGAGAGATACCCTTCTTCGAGGCGTTCGTCGTAGTTAAATCTTTATCTTGTTAGAGGCACTAATAAACTAGGGCGAGGCTCTTAGCTAGAGGTATTAACTCGTATAGCGGTGGGTATAGTAGTAGGGGTAACGACTATCGCTTAATAACAATAATAACAATATAGAAGGTCCTAATTAGATAGGTTCTATAACTAGATAGATAACTTAATTACTCTCTACCGTGTCTTACGGTGTATCCTTCTCTACTTAAGGAAAAAGAAAGGAAAACTTAGACCTAATGCCCGTGTCCCCACTAACTAATGATTAAGAGTGCCTACCTATACATTATATAGGCTAATTCCACCAATCACGTTCCAGCTTGCCTTTCTCCCCTATTACACTACGACCCTTTCCGAAATCTAAAGTACGTAATCACTTACCGGGACTACCTAACGGCTAGCTACCTTAAGAAGAGAGTGTCTTATATATAATCGCTACCGCTACGTCGTCTCCCGCACCTTCGATCGTGATAAAGCGATACGACGTATTACTAGACATAGCGACGATAACGCCGAAGACGATAATAGAAAGCTACTAAAAATAGAAAGGGGTATATTTATCCCTTTAGAAGTAGCTTATATAATTCCCTATTCGTTAATGACATTTTCGAGTGGGAAGATAGAGCTAGTACGTCTATTGTAATTTATTGGGTGTCACTAATCTGACTAACGACTGGCTTTTCCTTACAGGATGAGTCGAAATAGCTAGCTCTTATAATTTTGAATATACTCGACGATAGCGTAGTTTACCTAATCGAAGGTACTAATATCGACCGCCCGGCTAACGCGATCACAATGACTTATGATTTCCACTAGCTTTTCGGCGGATTCGAAGTATACTTTGAGCCTATAGGTAATGAACCTTATACTTATTACATCGACTCCACTAATATAGGTATTTTACGCTATTAGATTTTTCCTGTTAACCGTACCCTTTACTTGACTAATACTCGAACGATTAATCCTCCTTCTCTACGACTAATTGCGATCCACCGTGCTATCGCGCTTATTCTTCATTTAAGTGCCGCGGGCGGGTATATTAACAATATTCTTAGGGACCTTATCAGGAATGCCTTATTAGAGATAGGCAGTACTCAGCGATAGATAGATTCCGTGGTAATAAGTATCCCTTTACGTATAGTAGTGACAAGACTCGAAGCATGAGAAAAGGATACTTCTCGGGTGCGAGAAGTATACTTTTCTCTTTCGGTGAGTATACGGCCTAAAGTGGTTTAGGCCTGTCCGGCTTAGGTTAGTTCCGAGCTATTCAACCCCTTTTCCTGAAGGCCGCGTAGGAGGGTGCTTCCCCCCTCTGAGTAGCGTGCTCCTCGCTCTGTTTATGATACCTCCCCATTACATTACTTATATAATAGAAGGGCTATTATATAATATAGATAATAAGTATAATATAAGAATCTGGATAGGAAATAAGATAGAGCTCGAAAAACACTAGAAGATAGAGAAGAATCGAAGAATTATTATAGAATACTACGTACCGAGTACGGAACTGCCGGAACGATACGATACGAGTGATTTTATTACTGGACTGCCTTTTCCGTATTCATGTAGTATTAGGAATACAATAATGTAGATCTGTCGCTTAGTCATGCTCAGATTAGTAGATAGGCCGTTACTGATCAGGCATATTATAATCGGCTAATATTTTAACTTTCCGTGGAACAAAGTTGTAATGTGTCAGTAAAGGGGGAGGGCGGTTTCGGAAACGACTGTAACTAGTTGTCCTAAGAGAATGGTGATCTCCCCCGAAGCGAACTGAGCCCAAAGAAAGTGACTTTTACAGCAGGTTGGCGAACCTCTCGAATTGGTAGGTCAGAATTCTATTTCGGGTTAGTATCTAATCCACCAGACTACCGTACATCCTAAAATAGCATCATAAACCACGAACTTTCATGGTTTATTGGAGAATGATCACTGACGAACCACCCTCACATGATGTTGAAAAGAACTTGATACCGTTAACCACCAGCTTGCGAGGTTCATTAGCGCAGGCGGCATTGAGATGGGATGGTGACCATGTCAATCGATGACTGAGAAATTGAAGACCGTGTGGTCAATTGTTCATCGAGGTTTGCGGGAGCTGGAGCCCGATAATCCCTGTTTACCAGTGGCTCGCAAAACCTAATTACTTTCCTACGCGACAGTCTCATCAGTGTTTCATGTGAAGTCCACGCCTTTCTGGTGGGCGGACAATTGTCCGTCAGTGTCGAACGGAGCTCCAGGATCGGATTCTCGTCCTTTATACGAGCTTCTGCCGTTCACTTCCCTAGAGGGTATAGTGACAATCTTGCATTTGAATTTTCCATGACCGAGAAGGTCTCTGACTGGACAACAGGAGGGGAAGTGCAGGAAAAGGGAACCGGGAGAAGACAGGCAACAAACCAAGCAGGAAGCGTTGAATGTGTAGACGGTGCGGCCTCTAATATTGGGAGCGCGGAGCAGCTTCCTGCCGCGCTAAGTATTGGAGACGGGTCGTACCTACGTCGGTAGTAGGTGCCTGACCCCCCTACAGAGCCGAATCCAATTCAACAGACGAAGGGCTGAACCTTTATTTCAAGACGACGTCCACATCCAGGTCAGGCCCGGACAAGATGGAACTGATGGCGGTGCCGTACCGCTCCGAGGCAATGGCAGTGCTATGCTGCTCCAAGTCAATTACCTTGCCGTGCTGGCCCGACGCCATGGCGACTCCGGCGAGTTCATTCGCGCGAGTTCTGACGAGCGCCGAAGAGATGTGAGATGTCGAAGTATTGGCGTGTGGTAGCATCTCCTTCAATGTAACCGACCAATCTGTGACGAGTTCAACTTTTTTGACACACTGTAGCTTCGCCTTTTTCCCATTTCCGGAACTTCGCAAAACGCGAAGAATCACGAAGACGAACTGTCGCCCTGGAAGTTCGATGATCACGCGTTGGGGTACATCAACGTAAACTGGCGGCAACGTCCTTTGATGCACAGCGACGAGTGCGGTCTGACCTGAGGCGGTGGGTGCGGATATCTCCACAGTGTCATGTCCCGTCACTTCCCCTGTCCAATGAGTCAAGTCCAAACGGACTCCGTTCGACCACAATTCCCATGCACCCAAAGCTGGAAGCTTGTTCCCGTGAAAAGCCCGTCGCTTCCGAAGAAAATCGTCCACAAAGGTGACCAGTTCCTGCCATGATCATCGCCACCTTGAAGTCCTGTGAGAGTCGCACTAACTTGACGATCATATACGAGGTCGCCCCTCACGGAAGCCATCTCATCGTCTCCTCGGATCTTGAAGCACAGATGGAATTGGGACAGCCGCAAGCGCAGTGCAAGGGGCATGGGTGGACTTGCGGCCGCGACAGCGACACCTGCCATGATCGCTCTGGTCCTCGAGCGTCGATTTTTGGTCGGTAGGACTTTGCAGGCACGAGCGTACTTATCCCTGCTGCGGTGGAGAAGGCAATCTTTGGAAGACATTGACTGTCAATAAAGTAAGCTGCACCGACAGATTGACATCTCTGTGACATATCGACAAGGAATCTGCCATGTAATCACGGCAGACGGCGAAGTACGGAACTTTCGATCTTCGCCCTCTACTTCTCTCGTCGACTTTTTTCTTTTGTCGCTCCAGGTTCCCTTCGTAGCTATCGTGTCCTATATCGTTCATCGAGATGTTGGTCGCGGACGCAGAGCGTTTAGAACAAATCGACAAGTTGTATGAGTTGCGCCTGGATCAGTATGTTTCATTGCCTGTGGTGAGTTGAAACCGCCGTTGCTGGGAGCACTGACTCACGTAGACCGACAGCTGGCCGTCGTGGGCGACCAGTCCAGTGGCAAAAGCTCTGTTCTCGAAGGCCTGACAGGACTGCCCTTGCCTCGAGACTCTGGCTTATGCACTCGGTTTCCCACTCAGATCATCTTCAAAAGGTCGCCAACGAAGCATATTGAAATCAGTATCATCCCGTCATCGGAGCCAGACGAGCGGAAGAAGGCAAAGATCCGCGACTTTTCACGCCGATGTAGCCAGGATGGCGATGCGCTTAATCCTTCGGATTTCCTCGCGATATTAAAAGAGGTGCGTCTACGCTTTCCTACAGTCCAGTACACAGGCTCAGTCAAGCCCAAGGCAGCCGAGATTATGGAAGTGCCGTTCGCAGGCCAATCCCGTGAAGAGTCGTCTCACTCGTTTTCCAATGACATCTTGAAAATCGAGATGGCAGGCCCCCAGCATGAACACTTCAGCGTGATCGACCTGCCAGGGCTCTTTAGAAGTAAGAAAAGATCCGATTCTGCTATTCCGTATCTGACAAAGCGAAACAGAGCCTACCCTGGGGCAAACCACGAAAGAAGATATGACCCTTGTCAAACAGATGGTCGCTACCTATCTCAACAACACGAGAGCCATAATACTGTACGTCTCCGCCGACATCTGCTTGCACCACGCTGACCAGGCCATAGGGCGGTTGTACCGGCAAATGTCGACCTAGCAACCCAAGAAATCATCCAGATGGCCGAGGACGCCGATCCCGAACGGACAAGAACGCTAGGAGTACTAACAAAACCGGACCTAGTCGATCACGGCGCCGAGCCCGCGGTAAGCTCAGGATTTGACCTCCCAGACTTCGCTGACATTGTCCAGATCGTCAATCTGGTAAAATCGGGTGGCAGTACGCGTGGTCTGGGATACACTCTAGTATGCAACAGAAGTCAAAGCAACCTCGGGGTTTCGACAGCCGAGCGTAACAAGAATGAAAATGACTTCTTTAACGAGGGCGTTTGGAGCACCCTTCCGAAGGACAGAGTAGGTGTCGCCGCTTTGAAACGGCGGTTGAACGCTCTGCTTATTGGCGTGACTCGCACCACATTTGCAGATGTCATGCTTGACATAGAGACTCGTATCCAGAAGGTACAACTGGAGCTTGACTCCATCGGCTCACCTCGCGGCAGCCCGGCCAACCAGCGGCTCTTTTTGCTTCAAATCTCAACCCACTTCCAGTCTTTGGCCACGAAAGCCATCGATGGCTACTACGGTCGAGATCTGTGCTTCGAACAGTCCGCCGCCCTCAGGCTCGCTACACTGGTCGTGGCAGAAAACGAAAAGTTCTCTCAAAAGATGTTCCGCCACGGCTCGCGACGTCGATTCTCCCTGACGGATGACTCTGCATCTGATGACGAGCCGCCGGAGAGCCACAACAGTACGCCTCCAACGGATTTCGAGAATGAATCGGTCGAAATTCTTGAGCATTCGCACAGAAGCTACCCCGAGCTGAGGAGCCTGAGGCCGGTGGTGGCGGAAGTGCAGCACCCTATAGAGGAATCGGTACAAGAATGGATCACGCGGAAATATCGCAACTTCAAAGGATTCGAGATTGGCACGACAAATCCGTCGTTGTTGCCCGCGTTGATCCAAGAGCAGACGAGTTCTTGGCACTATCATGCCGGTACGCACGCGTACAACGTCATCGTGCGGATACATACCTTCCTCGACACCTTGTTGCACCATGTGTGCCCTGATAACGCGGTATGTGACCGAATCTGGGTCCGCATTGCACCGGCCTTGAAAGCTTCTTACAAAATGGCCATGGACCATGTCGCCTTCCTCGTCAACGTGGAGTCGCACGGGTACCCGGTTACATTGAACCACTACTTCGTCGACAATTTGAAGAAGCGGCGCCTGTCCCGAGTTGAGAAGCGCCTGGGCAAATTGAAGTCCTGGACCACGAACGATGATAACAAGCAGCCTCTGATTCGACTGGCGGATACTGTACAAGCTTACGTCGACAACGAGCAACACAGTATTGAGGATTTGCATGACACACTCAAGTCCTACCACAAAGTCGCTCGCAAGCGGTTTGTGGATGCTGTGTGCAAGCAAGTGGTCGACCACCACCTCATATGTTCCTCCGAAGGACCATTGTCGGTCCTCTCGTCTCAATTTATAGCACGGCTTGGTGAAGAGGATCTTCAACGTCTGGCAGGTGAGGATGACGAAACCTTGGCCAGGCGGAAAAATCTCCAAATTGAGCTTGAGAGTTTGCTGGAGGGCCAAAAAATCATACAATACTGATTTCTTACCATAGAGTGGCTATCTGCCTTTCGGAGGCCCTTAGACGGCAACAACAAAGCATGTTTCCTACTTTCGTGTATGGGTGTTGGTCTTGATGAACAATATTCGGGTGGAAGCGGTATCTAGAACCATTCCATTAGTTGCCAACATGCACTTGCTGATCACCAGCTCGAGCGAGGCTGGACCCTGCCGATATTCTCGCGTGTCACTGTGCTTGTTGGCGATGCTTCGGGCTCTCCCGACGAAAGGTAGGCTCTACCTGCGCAGGCGTTCAATGATGAGCTCAAACCATGCAAAGATTGCGGTTGAAGCAGGCGCAAAATCGCAGCGCTGGCCCAAATTGTGTGGCCTCGCATTGGAAACACATTTCGGCAGGAGGAAGTAGTCATTCCAAGAGGATTATTGCTTCTGAGTATTATCAGCAAGCTCAAGGGTGAAGACGGCCAATGTAAAGGCATTGTGGCAAGATGAACAACAGTTTTCAATGGTATTTGTGATTCTGAAGCATCATGCAGAACAAAAATAGGTGTTATCCATTTGGGCCTCCACTCATCTTTCGCAAGGAGTCTTGGGCAGTATCCGAAAAGGAGTCTGAACGTGCCTAGGTGTCGCTTTCTAGGCATGGAGGGGCCGTAGGTCGTTATGACCTGAGTTCGCAGCGTACTTCTTCTCTGGAAAGACCTATGCCGACTTCGATCGCGTCCCTCATCTTGCTCCTACACACTAGAACTGACGGGTTTCTGCGTAACGCTTTAACATCGCGTTCGAAAATCGTTCGCACAGCCATGGTGCGCTGAGAATCTATCGTAGTAGTGCTTTTTAACGTAGGTAAAAACCATTGATCCGCGCTAGTGGGTATAGGCTTGTAGCAATGAAGTCCTTCAGTGGCGATTCAGTATCGATGGACTTCCATCGGCTTTTCGCCCTGTTTTGGCGGCCGAAATCACGTTACATCTCCCTCCAACAATGCCACTTATCGCCGCACTTTCTGCCTGCGCCCACGATTCTCAATGACTGCAATTACGATTTCTAGCAAATGGATGCACAATCGTTTTGCGAGGAAGAACGCAATTAAAATGACTGCGATAGATCCAATAAGAACGTTTTCACTTATTACGTCGGACCCTCAAAGGAACCTTTCGTTGTCCATGCAGATATTGTTTCTTCCCGTTCAAAAGTATTTCGCCAATTCGTAGAAGGGCCGTTCAAGGGGGTAACGAAAGATACGCAGAGCTTCTAGAAGTTGATCTAGGAACCCTCGAGCATTTCCTTGCGTATGCCTACCTCTCGTCGAAGTACACGCCAGGTAACGAAACAAGCACGCACGTTCCGACGATAAAACGAACGTCAATAAGCAGGCTTATCGAACTTCTACTGGCGAGAGGGATAAAAAGTTCAATCGCAAGAGTTGTCACAGAACACCGGAGCTGAAATCTACCCTGAAGCATATGTCGATAGGATAATGGAGGGACAGGCATTGACAAGCATTTTGGTAGATGAGTTGGATTCTATGGAGGAAGAGTTCGAGATTCATCAAATCCACTTTACACTTTATAGATTGAAAACAGGCATAAACCATTGCAGGCGAGGTTTCTGAAACATCGCGACAAGGGCTATCTCTAAAGTCTTCCCTCTTCCAAAGCCGACAACAGCGACAGCGAGTCACTTGTGAGGTAAACCGCCTGGCCACATTGGTCGTCGTCGGCAGATGCTAGCCAGTCTCGAGGTATGTCGTAACTCTCGTTGATTTGAACATAGCTCCCGCTCTTCCACAGTTTCACTGGCCAAAACCCGTCTTGGATCTTGCCACGGGAACAGAGGTGCAACTGGGCCTGGGCCATGCCCTTTGGTGTCGGCGTGATTGGTAGAGACATGGAGGGGTCGAGTGGTTTGGTTGTGATCTAAGTACAGCTCAAATTCTGCGGTAAGCGACATCCTTTCAAGTTGACGTAACTTACCACCATACACCGGTACGTGCCTATCACCCTGCGTCCGACGACAACAACCGGGTGATATACCACACCCTGCGGAATGCCATATTCATTCACACAACGTTGCTTGTTTTGTAGTCTGCATACTCGTCCCCACATATCCTTGTCACTAAGAGGTTCCATAGACTCTTCCATCACTCTCTGGTATTTCGAATTCGTTGTTGTGAGGGAAGTCTGCGACTGCACATCAGGGCCCTCTAAAAAGGCGGGGGAAGAAACGCAGGCCACCTTGGCAAAGTGGATTATCAATGTGAACCACTACCCGTCAAGAGCCTTTAATTTGGGCTCCCTTTGGGGAGGAAGTGATTGGTATGTAAGGCCCCCAAGGTGTATACGGAGTACTCTTCCATGATCGAGCTACTGCAGGGTAACGACGCCTGGCTAGCGGAGTTACTGAGCACCACTGGTGGTTGATGTTACCACAGGGACGCGAGCCACATCTGTATTTATTTCGGATGTTGTTTTCAAAGGTATCTCTTCGACATATCCAGTGACTGTCTTAGTATATTGCCGGATATCATACAGAAGGCAACATCTGGGCAAACGGGAGTCGTGAGAAGGAGGCTGGCGAGCAACACAATTGAGGAGATGGTCAATAGTTTCAAAGCGGCGTGATCTGGTGGATCCTAGTGTGGGTCATTCTCTGCCAAGCCGCAAGGGCCGTTGTCGCTCCCCCGAAGTTCAACCGAAAATTTCAACTTTTCTCCCCCAGACTATATTGTAGATGATTCTGATTTGGTAAACCTCCCTGCCTTTTTGCCCATCTTGCCGTCGTACGAGCCCCTCCACACGAAAATGGGTGCTCGAAAGAAAGAAGCCGCCCGCCGTGAGCGGCAGGGCCAGTCGACAGACGGAATGGCAAACGTCAAGGTCAAGGGCGAGAACTTCTATCGGTGCGTGCAGATGCAACCGAGCAATACCAGGCCGATCAATGCTAACAAGACCTCCTCAGCAATGCCAAGAAGCTCAAAACTCTGAATATGCTAAAAGATGGCAAGGCGCAGCGGAATGCCGAAGGCAAGATCACGAAAGCCGCCTCCTACCAGTCCCGCGAGGTCCCCACGGCCAGAGTCGAGCCGAATCGCAAGTGGTTTGGAAACACGAGAGTCATATCCCAGGATGCACTCAACTCTTTCAGACAAGCTGTGGCAGAGCGGGCAGCGGACCCATACCAAGTCCTTCTGAAGACGAACAAGCTACCGATGAGTTTGATTCGGGACGCGGAGAATACCAAGAATGGGATCAAACAACACCAGGCAAAGATTGCGGTGGAGTCTACTCCGTTCGCCGATACCTTCGGTCCCAAGTCGCAGCGGAAGCGTGTCAAACTAAGTGCAAGCTCTGTGGCGGACCTGGCGGACGAGTCGGTGAAAATGCACGACAACTACCTCGAGAGGCTGGAAGAGAACAAACTGCTGAGCGGACAAACTGCAGAACAAATGCAAGGACAAGAAGACGGCGAGCTAACCAGTGCCCGCGAACCCATCTTCTCGAAAGGCCAAAGCAAAAGGATCTGGAACGAGTTGTACAAGGTCATTGACTCGTCCGATGTTGTTATTCACGTGTTGGACGCTCGAGATCCCGAGGGCACAAGATGTCGGAGCGTGGAAAAGTATATCCGAGAAGAGGCACCTCACAAGCACTTGGTGTTCGTACTCAACAAGTGCGATCTGGTGCCGACAAGTATAGCGGTAAGATTGCCCTCTCCTTTTATTCAGCAACCCTGAACTCCCATGTACACACGCAAAACCACGTCCCCTCCATCGCTAAGTCAAGGCTCCTTTCTGCGTTATCGCAACCTTTCCTCAATGAAAGCAGCCTGTTACAGCTTTGGTACATCAAGCCGCGCTCGCCGCCCTCACGGGTGGTTCTCGACAAATGCATCCGTCTTGGAAGCATATATGTCATCAGAGCGCATGGCGTGTTTCGTTTGAGTTGAGGTTTGCTTTCTTTGTCCATGGCACGTCTCTTAGTAATGTCTCACACATCCATACTAATCCCAAGTCTTTAGGCTCAATGGACCAGACTGCTCTCCAAAGAATATCCCACCCTGGCTTTCCACGCGTCGATGACGAATTCTTTTGGGAAAGGGTCGCTCATCACGCTCCTTCGACAATTCTCCACGCTGCATTCGTCGAGAAAACAGATCTCGGTAGGTTTCATCGGGTATCCAAACACCGGTAAATCCTCGATCATCAACACACTACGAAAGAAGCGAGTTTGCACTGTCGCCCCAATTCCTGGCGAGACCAAGGTTTGGCAATACATCACATTAATGAAGAGAATTTATTTGATCGATTGTCCTGGTGTTGTCCCTCCTAGCCAAGGCGATTCCGAAGAAGACATCCTACTACGTGGAGTGGTGCGTGTGGAGAATGTCGAGCATCCCGCACAATATGTTGAGGCTGTTTTGCGGCGAACAAAGACTCGCCATATCGAGCGGACCTACGAGATCAAAGCTGCGGATTACAATGATGATCCGATAGAATTTCTCAGCATTCTGGCGAGAAAGGGTGGCAGGCTGTTAAAAGGTGGCGAGCCTGATGTAGACGGCGTTGCCAAGATGGTTCTGAACGATTTCCTGCGTGGGAAGATTCCCTGGTTCACGCCACCACCGAAGAAAGAGGGAGCTGACGGAACCGACGACGATCCGTCAACAGAAGTAATTGAAGGGAGAGAAGGCCGGCTGGGCGAGATGCCTGGCAAAAGAAAGGCTGACCAACTTGCAACAGTTGATCAGAATTCACTGGAGTCAGATGCCGAACAGGACTCGTCGTCCAGTGCTGACGAGGAAGAGGAAGAGGAAGCGAACAGAAGTGAAGAACCAGTTGATGATGATTTTGCAAAGTTTGACGATGATGACGATTTGAGCGGTAGTGAGAGTTCTGGCAACGAAGAAGGGGGCACTCAGCTATGAGTCTGTGGCCTAGTTCGCCTTGAAAATCAATATAAGCAGAAAGCCTTCATTCAACTGCAGTGATCCAGTACTTTCCCTGCCACTTAGTGGTCACTTGGTTTCCCTGCTCCAGTGTGTTGTCTACCACCAGCTACCGCCTTGTTCTTAATGTCGCTAATTCCAAAGAGCGGGCTTCCGTCACGTAGACTCTGCTAGCAGTCTCATACCATAGCGCTGAAAGATACATACCGAGCAGATATAATATCTACCCGTGCTTCGCATAAACAGAAAGTGGATGCGGCGGGAGGAGCCGCCAGGAACAAAGAGGCTGTGACGTCAAGGTCATGTGAGCAAAATACGAGCATCAACTCATCGTCGATTTTCTTCCGAACAACTGCACCTAACCGATTCTCATGTATCAATTCACTCTCTTCCTTTTCCTAATGTAAGGCCATGAACACTTCGCCGACCTCGGTTCTAAGTAATCGCACTTCCCAATGCTCAGCTTCTGGCCTGTTTTCTGGATATGCTCATGGATAGCGTTCGCTGGAGCGTTTCCAGCGCGCCTACGAGCAAATGACAGAGAAATCTCCCAACAGACCTTTGAGTCCCTAGAAGAACTCGCGCGCATTGTCGACATATCCTACTGTGTCGGGACGACGGGAATCCAGAAGCCCTTCAAATGCCTGAGTCGATGTAGCGACTTTGAGGGCTTCGAGCTCGTCACCACCTGGAACACTGGCCCTCTCCTTTCCGATTCGTCTGGCTACATTGCCTTGTCGCATCCCCCATACCCGAAACGAGTCATCGTGGCCTTCCGAGGTACCTACTCTATCGCAAACACAATCGCAGATTTGTCGACGAACCCCGCCGAATATGCCCCTTTCCCTTCGGAACGAGATAAGGATTCGTTCTGCACCACGGCACAGTGGCAAAATGAAAAAGACTCTATACTTCCACAGCTACTGAAGCAGCCAGAAAAGAGGAGTTCGATACCGACAGAGTGTCTCAACTGCACTGTTCACTCAGGCTTCATGACATCCTGGCGGAACACACGCTGCATCATCATTCCACACGTAGAAATGGCATTGAGGGACAATCCCGACTACGAACTTGTGCTGGTTGGTCATTCACTTGGGGGCGCCGTCGCAGCGTTGGCGTCTCTGGAGTTTCAAGCGAGGGGGTGGGATCCTCATGTCACGACTTTTGGCGAGCCACGGGTCGGAAATCTAGCGTTGAACCAGTTCATCGACAAACGTTTCAACTTGAACACCACAAGCCCGAACCAGTGGACCTACCGCAGAGTCACACATGTGGATGATCCAGTGCCGCTGTTACCACTGGAAGAATGGGGTTACAGAATGCATGCCGGCGAGATATACATCTCCAAAGCCGCGCTGCCTCCTGCTCGTGCCGATATTCAGCATTGTGTGGGTAATGAGGATCCCGGTTGTATTGCCGATAGTGCATCGACCGAGATCGAGAAGGTAGGATCCGCAGCCCGGAGAGAAAACGGTACAGCCTCCGAGATCAAGGGAATGTGGGAGATTGGTCGACGCTACAAACTCTGGCAGCTGTTCTTTGCTCATCGTGACTACTTTTGGCGACTGGGTCTCTGTGTCCCTGGAGGAGATCCATGGGACTGGTCGAGAGGCAAATACAATGCGACATTTACGAATGATGAGTTATGATCCGTCGTGAGGGATGGAGAATGATACTATGAGAGAAAAGCACGGCGTTGGGAGATTCTGGTGCAACGGGGGTATCAGAGCCCCCGTACATAATTATAATAAGCATCTATACATAATATTCCAGACTATTATTATAATATAGTGCAATACCCTCAACATCCCGAACTTATGTACCTCCGATCTACGGGCCTCAGGGCCTTGTGGGATATCCTAGTGCCGGCTTCATATTATTCCGCTCCGGTCTTGGCGCAAGGCTCTTCCCAGACGCAGCCTTGACATCGACTTCTTTTGCCGATCTGGATCTCATTCCGTCAACAACTCGCCATCGCAGAACCCATCATCTCCTCTGAGTCTTCGAAGCCACCTTAGATCTCGATGAATACACCTTGAGATAAAAGCTCCCCAATCTCCCTCCTTTCTCCACGAAACCCATGTTGACTACCAAGGCAACACCCATGGCGTCGCAACTACTTCCCCTAGGTATATCCCCATAGTTCACAGCGTATTGTCCTTTTGCGTCGAGAGACTCAAGTACCCAGAGCTGACCACGTTCTGGGAACAGAATTGATCGACAAGTGCGTCGGCTCGAGGATCTGGATCGTCATGAAAGGCGACAAAGGTAAGGAAGGGAGTGGCAGACGTTCACATCTTCGAATCCTGCACAGTGCAGAAAAAAAAAATTCGTGGATTTTGTCAACGGGTCCATGCCGGATGTCTCACTGGGATCCCCTTAAGGGTCCATTGACCCCTTGACGGTTCTGTGCTGGAGATTCTCTGGTTGTGCTCCTGATTCCCTGGCTTTTGACTGACGCTCTGGTTGTCAATGTGCAGAATTCGCCGGTACATTGATCGGATTCGACGACTATGTCAGTAAGTATTCCCCGGATCGCCCATGCCGGGCTAGATGCCCTGAAAGAGAGCGGATATATGTCAAAGCACGAGGAAGAGGATATACCTGCTAACCATGCTCCTTTTCTCCGCTGTGTATAGACATGGTTCTTGAGGACGTGATTGAATTGTAAGTCTTCCCCGTCTGTGGTCTTTCTTGGTGTTGGCATTTTCTCGCCCACACACACACACTGTGCCCAACCTAACACGGTATAAGTATTCGAGTGAAGCGAGGCTGACAGTTCTCAAAAAGTGACTACACCGGGGCTCAAACGCGGCTGCCCAAGATCCTACTGAACGGGAACAACATCTGCATGGTACGTCTGACAGGAGGTCTACGAATCCTCTTGCCTCCACCAATGCAGCAATGCATACCCTACTTTCTTCAGCTCTCACTGTCCTTGATATACCTATTTTCCCCTCGGCCTCGTCGCTTAGATGTCTCTTTCTCATTCTATTGCCGTTTCTCGCCCAAAGAACCCCTTTCATATCCCAACCATCGTCCTGCGCACTTGCGCACTTTACAGAAATGAGCTCGACTGATTCCGCGAACAGTTAATCCCAGGCGGCGAAGGCCCCATCCCCGCAACGGCATCATGAGAAAGAAAACTTGTTTTGGTCCTTTTTTTTTCCTTTTCAAGGTCGTCCGGGTTAGACGCCGCGCTCGAGAGATTTGCGATCAATCAATCAAGTAGGGAGAAATGGGGAGGAGGAGAACAGGACACACAGAGCGATCGCTCTCTTGTTTGCTTGAGTTGGTGAGGAGAGTCCAATCAATCAGAAAGAGTCAAATCGCATACATACACGAGGGAACAAATTCTCTGTATGTATACAGACAGACAGACAAACAGGGTGCAACACTTGATAAAAGTCCACCTACATAGGTAGCGAGCAGTGCGACTTGAGAGTACAACCTCCCCCAAAAATAAACAAGCCAGTTATCAAAACAAGACGTGTGCAATCGGTCCTTCAGCCCACATCAACACGCAACACGTTCCCCACAAAGAAGAGAAGTGGAGCTGCTAAACAAGAAATCTTTTTCATTTCCCGTATCTCGAGGCAGACTTCTGTAGGACTTGAACCGCCTCTCGCTGGACGCTGCGCACAATATCCCCCGCGGACCTGACCTCCTTAACCAATCCTATGCCCGTGCCCGCGTAGGTGGTCATTCTCCCTTCGGGGCCCCAGCCCGCATCGCCCATCTCCATGGCCTGCTTGTAGAGCTCGACGTTCTCCGCGTCGCCCATGCCGCCGTGCACCGCGTCCAGGTAGGTGCGGTTCGCGACGCCGCGGCCCGTGTACGCCTGAGGCCAGCCGCGGATGCCTCTGACGACGTCGTAGACGGTGGTCGAGACGGTGCTGGTCCCGCCGTCGGTGACGCGCAGCACTTCGTCCTGGTAGCCCTTTGCGATGACGGCCTCGTCGCACGCGAGAAACCGTGTGCCCAGACACACGCCGTCGGCACCGAGGGCCAGCGCGGCCGCGGCGCCGCGTCCGTCCATGATGCCACCGGCGGCGAGGACGGGGATGTTGATGCCTTCTCTCTCAAAGGTGTCCTTCACTTCGGGAAGGAGCGTGAGCAGACTGGCCCTCTGCGCGAGTCCGTGGCCGCCCGAGTCGGAGCCCTGCACGATCAAGACGTCCGGTTTCGTCGTCTTGGCGACTTCGATCGCCTCGGCCACCGTGCCCACCTGGACCCAGATCTTGGTGCGCTCGTTGCTCAGGTGGCGGACAGCTTTAGCCCAGTCGAGGAGATCGCTGAGGTGCGTGGGCGCGAAGAACCACACCGCCGCGACGGGATGCTTCTCCAGGGCTTCGGCCAGCAGTTCGAGGGAGCTACCCCAATTCTGGATGCCCACGCCGATAGGGAGTAACCCGTCACGGAGGGGCACGTTTGTGGACTTTGCATATTCTGCTGCTTCGGAGAGGTTCTGCAGCAGAGAAGAGAGGTCGAAGCCGCCCGCCAGAAACCCAATCCCGCCGTTCGCCGACACAGAGACTGCCAGACGACCCATTGTGATTTTCATCATGGGCGCCGATACCACCAATGGGAGATCGGCGGTTGTCCATGGATAGTCATCGTGAAGTGCATGGGACGGCATGCTTGAGCCAGCACCTGATCTGGCGAGTTTTGCAAGACTATTGCACAGGAGCTAGTAAATTGAAAAGAAATAGACCTATACAACGTCAGAGAGGGAGAGCTCTTTGCCGAACTCAGTTGCGAAAGTAGGGATGGTATGCTGCAAATCTCAACGTGCAGGTCACAACTGAAACCGCTGACTCCCGGGTTTTCTAAGGTAAAAGGTGTGACAGCATTGCGTGGATTCTCAGTCCTGTTGTCCGCGGAGGGAGCTTTCCATGGCGCAAAGATCAAGGACAGGAATCGGAGAATAGTCCAAAGCAACCAATTGGAGGATCCATGACACAGGCCGCGGAGATGTCGTTGGTTGAACTCAGTCCCTGGATTTAAAACAAGCACCGAACAAAAAAGTGGCTGCGCCGAAGTCAGTTATTTGATAGTCACATGACCCTTGGCATATTTGCATGATTTGTTTCCGGCTTCATCGAGTCCGACTTTTCAGATCGACGAGGCCAGCGAGACACGACGTCCTCATTATTCCATTTCTTGTCGCCGTTGCTTTGTATCCTTCAACCTGAGATCTAGCTTGCTACTTACTCTTCCCTGTCTTCAGACGTCACCCTTGCTTTAGCCCGTCGAATCTAGGATCTCTTTGTTCTTTCTTCTGTCTTTTGGAGCTTATTGGATATTTCCCTCTCGTTTTGACAATATGAACGCCCCTGACCGGTATGTTCTCGGCTTTTCTTTTGTTCGTCGATCTTGCACGCTCTCTTTATCCTGCTTGGAACCACTTGCTTTGAACCCCGAAGAAAACATGAGGAGGAAACGGGGTGAAAGAGGTGGTTGATTCACACACAAAGCAACGAGCCCCCAGAGCAAACGTCCTCCAGCCTTGCAAACCCCCTGGTTTGACCCAAGTAACAAGGTCGTACGCCTGGACAACCTCTGCCTCAATTGGCCTGTTGGTTACCGCGACGTTTTTCTTCGCAAACTGCCTGCGTCAAACAACCTTGGCCTTGGCGCCCTTTTCTGCCTCCTTGAAGATCAGACCTCACCCTCGCCATCTGCTGCCTCCCCAGTAATTTATCCTTCTTCGGCCTCTCATCATTTCTCGGAACTGGCTTTCAAAATCTTCCTGTCAGAGAAACTGTCATCATCCATGTCCGAGACGCCTTCCGACCAGGCTGCGGCCACGGATGACCAGACTCCTCCTATGGATACTCTCTCACCTAGACGAACCTTGTCTGGCCAACTTATCATCGTCGAAAACCAGCGTTGGCCTGATCATCCAAAGAATAAATACCGGGGAAGCGTCAATTCCGGAATTGACACAAACAGTGTCAATATCCCGGCAACGTAAGTTTCAATTTCTCCACGGTCGCGCTTCCTCTGGCCTCCTGGACCTGGATCGGTTCTGGAATCTGGACTTGGACCCAGGTCCGCCAAAGAAACCTCGATTTGTTTTTGACATAATTTCATAGCTCTGGGAGTGTAAACACCACCACCGCCGCTGTGACCGAGGATCCCGTCGAGATGGCTGGCACGGAAGACCCTGGTTTGCCTTCTATACCGGATCCGGCTTCTCTATCTTCGCCATCCAAACCACGTTCAAATACCGGTACCTATCCTGGCGCCGGGCCCGGTGGCTGGCCAATCGACGGCTCTGCCTGGAGGAACCACCCTGCGAACCGTCCCTACCAGTTCTTTCAACTAGAGCAGATGCACCATGAGGAAATCAACAGACTTGAGTGGTGCGCATTTTGCAAGAGACAGGCGAATAGCTGGATCCCGAACCCTTGCCCAAATTCTTCCTCTAGCAATCACGCGTGCCTGCTTTCTCGACATGTTTTACTTCAAAATATGGGCCTGACACATGCTAATTGTTGGGCAAACAGTACCGAGGCTTTCCTTCTTGGAGATGATGAGAAGAAGATTGAAGAGAAGATCGACACCCGTAAGTCTTGCATTGACGACAGCGCCAAATGAACTCCTAACTGATACGCGACGCAGGTACTCCAAACACGACCATCTTCACCTTCAACAAGGAAGACCACACCCTCGCCAATCTCCTGCGCGACAAGCTTCTGAAGAACAGCCACGTCACGTTTGCTGCTTATCGAGTGCGTCACACGCAAGAGCCCCAGCCAGCCCTCTTGGGATCATACGCAAATACTAACACAACCTCGTTCCTTTAAGATCCCGCACCCTCTCTTCGCGAAATTCGAACTCCGAGTCCAGACCGACGGCGAAATCACCCCGAAAGAAGCCGTGCTGGCCAGTTCCCGCGACCTGGTCCACGACCTAGACGTGCTCAAGACAAACTTTACGAGAGAGTACGAGTTGAGGAAGATGGTCGGCGGTGCCCAGAACGGCCAGTGATGAGTGAATCCCAAGTCTCAAGTCTCAAGGCGTTCTTCCTCGCGCGAGCAAGCTAGCGAGCCAGCATGGTTCGTTCGTTCTTGACGCGCCAGTGTGGTCCGGCCCCCAAGGCCAAGATACGAGATTTGACGGATCGGGCGGATCAGATACGATACCCCTGTTGTACCATTAGCGGCGGGCGCGGTCGGGGTCGGTTGGGAATTTAAGGGATTCGAGGGCGTTTAATGGGACAGTGTCAGGGACGGTATCTTGGCAGCGGTGATGATGGGACTCTACGCATATGAAGGAGGTTCAAAGCATCACGTAGCATAGCACATCATCGCATAGCATCAACAGAGACATTATGACGTGCTGATTGATCAAATGGAGGTTTATTTTTTGGGCCGAAATAAAAAAAGAGAGCGTATGAGTGAGTGACAATGCCGCTGGTGTCGAGGCTCCCCAACCTGTCCATCTACCTATCTAGGTAGGTAGGTATCTATCCTACACGCGCGTAAACCCCTTGTATCCCTGCTGCGCACACTCCTTGATGGTCTTGTAGTAAGTAGGCACACCGCCCAAGTATATGAGCGGCTCTCTCGGCTTTCCGGGGATATTATCGCCCATGTACCACTGCCGACGTTTCGTCAGATTCCCACGATCGATTGAAAAGGGTAAAGGACACAGGGAAACGGGGTAAACGCAGGAGGGAAGGAAGTTCAAAGGGAAGGGGAAGCAACAAGGAAAAGGGAAAAAGAAAATGAATCAAGAAAAGAAAGAGGCACGCACCGATTTGGTCTTTGGCAACAGCGTCGCGTTGGCTAGTTTCCAGACACCCTGGGCCCACTCGTCCTCGACGTCGGGGTTGGCCTCGATCTTTTTCAATCCCGAGCTGTCCATGTCCTTGATCGTCTGCACGATCCACTCGCCCTGCACCTCGGCGCAGGTCGGGCCGTTACAGAGGGCGGTTGGGGCCTGGGGCCCGTAGGTGAAGAACATGTTGGGGAAACCCGCGACGCAGAGGCCCAGGTACGTCTTGGTGCCCTTTTCCCACTTCTCAGCAAGCTTCTGGCCACCCACGCCAGAGATGTCGATTTGCTTCAGCCCGCCGGTGATGGCGTCGAAGCCCGTCGCGCAGACAATGTAGTCGAGGTCGAAGTCGCGGTCGACGGTCCGGATGCCGCGTTCCGTAAACTCGACAATCGGCGTCCTTTTCATGTCGACCAGCGTCGTGTTGGGCTGGCTGAAGATCTCGTAGTAGCCATTCTCCAGCGAGATTCGCTTGCAGCCAAAGGCGTGCGGCTGGATCTCAGGTGCAAGCGACTCTTGTAGGTCCGGGTCGTGAATGCGGGCGCGCACTTTGGCTTTCCAAAAGTCATATGCTTCCTTGTTGGCCTCTTCATTGAAGAGCATGTCATAGTATGTCGCGAGCCAATAGTGAAAGTCTCCCTTGGCCCAAAGCTCTTCGTATGTCTCTCTCCTTTTCTCCGGGGTGTCGTCAAACGTGGCCCGTGGCAAGAAGTTGTACGAAAACCCACCAAAGGAATTGATCCGTCCGTCAAAGAGGGCTGGGTACTCTCGGAGTGGAGCAATCTGTTCATCGCCAGTGTATTCGATCTGCTTCATTGGTATTGCCAGGTTCGGAGTCCGCTGGAAAAGTACAAAGTCTTTGGCCACCTTACTCAGCTCCTGAGCAAGTTGCACGCCAGTCGACCCCGTTCCAATCACCGCGATGCTCTTTCCCTGCAGGTCTTGGTCTTCTTTGGGCCAGTATGAAGGATGTACAAAGGTCCCGCGGAACTTCTCGATGCCAGGCCAGTCGGGGATATGTCTCTTGGCCGAGAATCCGGTATTCAAAAGGAAGTACTTCGCAACGAAGCTGGGGCCTCCCTTAGTCGTTATGTGCCACTTAGCATTCTCATCATCCCAGATCGCTGCGGTCACCATGGTGTTGAATATGGCATCTCTGTCTAGATCCCACCTCTTTGCAACAAAGGCGAAGTAGTCTCGAAGTTCGGCGCTGCCGGGGAACCGCTGCTTCCAGCGCCAGTCCCGCCAGAGCAGAGGATCGGAAAACTCGTAGAAAGGAATCGGGCTATCCACACGTGCACCCGGGTATCGGTTCCAATACCATACACCGCCCCAGCTTGAGGCACTGTCGACAATCTTGACCTTGTAGCCTTCTTCGCGTAGTCTTTTCAACTGGTAGACTCCACCAAAGCCAGCTCCGACAATGAGCGCATCGAGTTCAATCGTTTGCGGTAATGAGCCCATGTCAGATGTATCAGGGGATAGAATGGCGTTCCGGCCCGGAATTTGCAGTTTTCAAGACAGAGTATGAGAAGGGAAGATTTTCAAGGCGATTTCAATGTAAGAATGGGCATTCCGGACACATAGACGGGTTTCCAGTACGGCAGCTTCATGCTTTAAGTACCATATGCCATTGATAGAGGACATGGTGAAATTCAGCCCACTGGCCAATCAAGGCCATTCCCGACGAAAGGATAAGGAGGTCCCATGGGAGAAGAACCAGTAGATCCTTAGGACAAGTGAACCTCACTTATGCATTGCCCCCTGGGAGACTGATGCTCCAACGGTCGGAAGCAGTCACCATATCGCCATCAAGCTGAACGACTGGGCAAGGTCTGCCAAAATCATAAACTCGACAACAAACATCACAGCCATACGATGGATCTCCGGGGCACAGGCTTCTCCCATTGCCATCCGAAGCATGATCTCTCTGGTCGATGCATATGATTATAAGACACGTAGTAGCTGGTCGCTTTCATCCAGTAGACATGCATCGGTCACAATGAAGCAGCCGTCAAGCCGATTGAGAGACTATGTCGATCATGCACCGGGAGTGAAAACTTCCAGAGACAGCGTGGCCGGTGACGTTGATAACGCGGATTGGATCAGTCCAACGGACTTTTACAAGGCTAGGTGTCGGCCTTGAGGACGACGACTTCAACCGAGTCAGCCACCCCGCAGTGTCGTGAATGAATATGGAGTAAGCCTCACTCTGGGGAGCGTCAACTCTGAGCGGTTTCGACATCAGTCGGGAGGTAAAGTCGGCAATGAATTGGGGGGTCGGAAATCTGGGGAGTAGCATTCTCATCGGAAGCAAAGCGTTGAGGTTTTCGGCATCTCCTCTCATTGGCCCGCTCTGCAAATCCCCTGCTTGTATGGATGGATGCATCCACAGGCCGAAGGGTTTTCGGAAAGGATGCCCAGCCCGAAGCCTCCTTGGGGGATTCTGGACACAGGCCTAGAAGGGGGTACAGCCCATGCCGAGGTCTTGAGTGCGAAGTCATCGAGGTAGAAAAGTGACAAGAACTATTTCTCAGGCCTGTTGATTTCGGCACTGGCGAAACTTCAAGAGACACAACAGATGTTGCAGTGCCATGAGACGAGTCGCATTGCTGCAAGACGACATTGCAGACCTCAGCAGACCTTGTCGGCAAAGAGTCGCATAGACGCTATGGCTGCTCAAAGAAGAGGCACAAGCTCAGTATCCAGTTGAGTCCGTGGCTGGAGGCATATTGCCTATGTCCCTATGCGCAGATCCCTCCCAAATGTTCAACTATCCAAGAGTCAAGTTTCTGCACAAAGAGCAGTCAATGAGGCGTTTCTAACAGCCACCACTATTCCAGGAAATCTCGCTCATCCATCATAGAGAACAAGGGTACGTTATCCTCGTAGGAGCCGAACCATAATGTCCTTGGAGACATAGGAGGTAGCATCGAGATGTCATCGTCAAATGCAGAGGGACCAGCCAACACCTCGAGATTGAGGTTATCGATATCTGTGTCATCGAGCGTATGCGATCCAGCATTTTCGCCGTTGGCATCGGTGGGTAAAGTGCTCAGTCCTTGGTCGATATGCAAGTCTGGTCGACCTAGGAGGTTCTCGATGTTGTCGACAGAGCGAGTATCTCTCGCCGGAATACTTGTCGTGCCCGAATGTTCCTTCTCATCTTCTCTACGTATTTGTCCAAACATTCCACTCACCAGTTGAGAGTGAATTGCCATATTCTCCGTTGTTTTCCTCCTGACGTAGATCTTGCATGCATCTAGCAGTGACTGAAGAATCACCAGATTCCTTTTTGCGACAGCGTCGTGTGGAAAGAGGTCAAGCAGCCGCAAAGCAGTGCCGAGGCTGTCATCCAAGGGATATATCTTATACAAGTCACCGAAGTAAGACAATCCCAGTACGAGACCTGAAACAAAGATCGAATTGACAACAAAAGGAAGCCTCTTCGGTATACCTTCAAATCCAAGTAACTTTCTCAACAGATTCACCGTGCTTATCGCAGAGTTGACACAAGCGTGAACTTGGATTCGGTGGGAAGATCGGAGAGGGTCAGGGCTTCTGTCTCCATCGCTGCAGTTCTGCGCCTTCAGTGCAATGCGACTGGAAATATACTCCACGAAGAACGGCCGAGTCAGAAGCATGATAGTCCAGTAGTAGGCTTCATGGACGTGTATGAGACCAATATTTGGCAGCCGGCCCTCGAGGAATTCCTGGTCCTTGATTCGGTCTGTGTCTAGATAGCTGTGGAAGCGCACTGTCCATCGGCGATGGTGTTGGCTGATTTTCTGAATTGTGTCGGTGGAGATCATCCGCTTCGCATATATGTCGGTCAAGATCTTTTCGAAGATGGCGCACAGGTCCACCGACGGGGAGTAGTTCTCGTCCAGCTCTGTGTTCCGAGTCTCTTCCGTAGACGGAGGCCTGCCCAGCGAGGTGCTCATAAAGAGGTCAAGGATCCGCATCACCTTCCAGACCCTCTCCCGTGTTTTGATCTCGGCCGGAGAAAAGAGCCCGGCGATATCAGACCGATGTAGCCCGAGAGCATAAGCGGCACGAACGGCCGTTCCGAGATACATAAATGCAGCATTTCTTCGAGACGCCCCCAGCAGATACATTGTAATCATGGCGTATGCTTGCACGGTTGGAATGCTGGGATCTTCCATGAAATATGATGCCGTTAGAAACCGGCCATAATCAAAGTAGACCTTGGCAAGTGCATCTTTATCTTCGGGACATGTCTGGGCTCCTATGGCGAACACGAGAAAGTATATCGCGCTCAAGACAGACGTGTGGTGCGGTTCAGTCTCCAGCCAACTTGCGAGATTGTCGAGGAGGTCACTCTCGTCAAAGAGATCCAGCACACAGTTTGTGGCCATGATATACCGACGAATCAGATAAGCTGCCTCATCAAAGCTCGGTTTGACAGGAGGTCGGTGGTCTGTTGCGTGCAGCCACGTAGCGGGACCTTCAGGCGCCGACTCGACCATCTGATATCGGAAAGGATCTTCCACAAACGTACATGGTCCGATGCACGTCCCAACAAGACTGCAAATATTCTGAAGCAGCGACAAGTCTGCTGAGTCCCCAATAAACATGTATTTGCCCTTGGTGTCTTGTATCAGCCGGGATGTCTCGAGAACAGAACTCGTAGAGGTATTGCTCATCGCGAGGCTCAAAGGATAGAGCGACTCATGTGGTGGTCCGTCTTGCACATTCCTATCTTGACTGATTGATTCGACACCGATTGGGGCTTCGTGATTGATGCTGTACGGCTTTGTGAAACCCGTAGACGTCTGGCGAGGCTGGGATTGACATGTCGAATGAACGCCACGTTCAATGCAGCGAGCGCAGGGTCTGCTTCCCGAACACTTCTCTTTGCGACGTTTGCAAGTGCTGCACGCTTCGGCGCACCGATAGCGACGCCGCTTCACAGCGGTGTTCTTGATCATCGACGCAAAGGGGGCTGTATATGGAGATTTTTGAGATAGTGGACCCTGGTCTGCTGGGTATGCGAGTGGCTTAGGTAAAACGACATCGAGGGCAAGCCAGGATACGTTCTGCGTTTTAGGCGTATGCTGCATTTTGATTCTTCCCGAAACCTCGGGCAGATTGTGCGGAGCCTTCTTGGTCCCTCCACATAGGAATTATAGTTAGGATTCGAATCGTAAGGCGATTGCCATGTAGACTGTTCCTGGTACACGGATAATTGACCTCGTTGACGTCTTACCTCCCCATCAACTTTGGGCTCTTTGGGCCCCATGGACAAAGGATATCCCTTGGTGAGACCATCAGCAGGATCCTTACCGGTGCCGCATCCGGGGTAGAATGATCTGGAGATTTAAGGTTGAGGAGTTCATCCCTCGTGTTGCTCCACCAAAAATGTTCCGCGTTTTTCCCCAGTGCCCATTCAGCCGACGGATTGCGGACACTACGGTCCAACATGGGAGCCGTAGTAATATGCTTCGGGGCTTCGGGCAGTATTTTGTTTTCCATGGAACGAATCGCACGGATAAGAGTTCAGAGTCAGCCTTCGCAGTTGATTTGTCCGATTTCTGTGGATTCGCCGAGATTCTTGTCATCGAAAGGAGCTCTTTCTGCTCCGCTTTTCTGGCAACATAAATAGCTAGTCAGTCCAGCGTTCAGCTTAAGAACAATGGCGGCGCAGGACAGATGGTCACCAAGGGCGGCTCGTCCGAAGGAAAAGGCGACTGGGTGTCAATCGCTACAAAGCTTGTCGTCAGTAATCTAGTAGGGACATGGGCCATTGTCACTGCTCTGTGATTTTCACTTGACTTCTTTGCCATTCAAGTGATTGTCTCAGGCTGTCTGTGTCAGCAACGTCTGTCATGAAATGTTGTTTCTGATTGGAAGATGCTTGTCAGCTATGATGGGTTTGTGTGCTTCCAGGGTGCAGTTGATAGGAAATCATGCTCTGTTAAAGCAGCGACATGCCAAGCTTCAGCCTCACCTCCCTCAGCCACGATGCTGGAGCTGATGTTGGAGCAAAGACCGCGTCACAGCCAACCCGCTGAGGTCCAGGTCGGCGAGGTCGGTTGCTAGTGTCGCATCTGGTGCTTCTCTAACTCTGCCTGCTACTCGTCTCACCCAATTTCTATCTCAATTTTCCCATCTCTTCTGTCTTTCATCCGCTTTTGCAGTCTGTGTCGTTTGTTTGCAAGCATGTATTCGTCTTCCAATTCTTTTTTGGGCGGCACAAATTCTGCTCGCCCTGGTCCTGCGCCTGGGGGCTTTGGACCCCAGCAATCATTCGGCTCATTCAGTCAAGCTCCTCCACAACAGCAACCATCACCCTTTGCACCGCAGCCCACCGGCTTCCCCGGTCAGTTACAAGCCCAACAGACTGGTTTTCCAGGTTATCAGCAGCAGCAGAGTTTTCAGACCCCTGCGCAACAACCTCAATTCACGGGCTATCCGCCTCAAAATCCACCGCAGCAACCGCCATTCCAACAACAACCACCTCTGCAGGCGCTAGCTTTTCAGCAGCAGCCATCCTTTCAAGCTCCTCCTCCTGCTCCTGCGCAGCAACCCCCTGCCGCTGCTCCTCTGCGTCCTCAGCAGACTTCGGCCCAGATCGCGGCCTCCTTTACTCAAGGCTCTTCTCCCAGTGCGCCTGCGTCGAAGAGGAGGGAGAGCAAGAGCTCCAATAGAATTCCGAACATTCGGTTGTCTTTTATCACTGCTACAGATCAAGCGAAATTTGAACAGTTGTTCAAGTCTGCCGCTGGAGATGGCCAGGCACTGAGTGGAGAGAAGGCTAGAGATTTGCTTTTGAGGTCAAAACTGCCGGGCAGTGCCTTATCGCAGATATGGGTGCTGTCAGATACCACCAAATCAGGCCAGCTCCTCTTCCCGGAGTTCGCTCTGGCCATGTATCTGTGCAATCTGAGATTGACTGGAAAGGAGCTCCCGGCTGTCCTTCCTGAGAAGATCAAGAATGAGGTATCAAGCATGGTCGATATCATTTCCTTTGGTGTCCCAGATGAGAAGCCTTTGCCACCAACACGGTCGAATGTGCCCGACTTTGATACTCCGATTAGGCAAAATGCTGTTTCGCCCCCTGCTCCCCAGCAGCCAACCCCTCAACAGCCTTCAAACCAGCAGCTTTTGACCCAACTAACTTCCCAGCCGACAGGTTTCTACAACCAGGCCACAGGGTTCCAACCCGGGCTCCAGCCGCAGGCCACCGGCTTTCCTGGGCTGTCACAAGGATTGCAGGCTCAAGCTACTGGTTTTGTGAATCCTGCCCAGCCTGCTGGTTTTGGGGGTGCTCGACCCTCGTTGCCACTAATGCCTACAAGCGGCTTCGGTTCCAATGTTTCACCTCAACAGACAGGCCTTTTACAAACCCAGCCGACTGGCCTTCCTGGTCAATGGGGCTTCGTCAACACCCCTGCCGGCGGGTTGCCCAATATCGAAGCTCTCCAGCAGCGCCTGATGCCTCAAGCTGGTCGTGAAGCCGGTGGCTACACGACGCAAGGGCTTTCCGGGACCGCAAAGATCCCTTGGGCGGTCACAAAGGACGAGAAAAGGATTTATGATCAGCTCTTTCGGGCCTGGGACGGTCTAGGCCGAGGTTTCATTGCGGGAGAGACGGCCATTGAAATCATGGGCCAGAGCGGCCTGGAGAGAACTGATCTAGAAGCCATTTGGACACTGTCCGATCCGAATAACAAGGGTCGGTTGAACATGGACGAGTTCGCTGTGGCCATGCACCTTATCTATCGAAAGTTGAATGGGTATCCGATCCCAGCTCGACTTCCCCCGGAACTCATTCCGCCATCAACAAAGAATTTCAATAGCTCTATTGACACTGTCAAGTCTCTCCTTTCCCAGGACGCAGAAGCCAGAAAATCCTCTGGCGCATTCCTGCAGCCACAAAAGACCGGCGTGAGCTATTTGAAGGACCACTCGTTCCGTAACAGCTCTGCATCGCCCAACTTTGGTCGCAAGGATGCGACAGTCTTCCGCAACAATGATGATGATATTGGGTATCGTTCAAGCGCCAGACGTCGCCTTGGAAATGGGGGTAGAACCCCCTCCCCGGCTCCGTCATCCGATATGGGAGATAGTGTTTACGATGACTTGACCCCCGATCAAATTAGGAAAAAGATCCGTGAGAAGAAGATCTTACTTGACGCTACTGACTTCCAGGACGATCGACAAGCGGATGATGACGATGTGTTGGATCGAAGAGATAGACGCGAGGCTGAAGAACTCTTCAGGCAGATCCGACGACTCCAGGATGATATTGATACGCACCCTAATGCTGGACTTGCTGGTGGTGATACAGGCGCGGAAAGGAGGGCAATGAGAAGGGAGCTGCAACGATATCAGGATCGCCTACCAGCATTGGCGTCAGACGTAAGAAAAGTCGAGAGGAACATTGCTGAAGCCAAGTTACAACTTTTCCGCTTGAAGGACGCCAAAGCTCACCCGAGCAGCTCCTCAAATATTGTTGGAACCGGGCCTAATGGCACGGTCACTGAAACCGATCGCATCAAAGCACGAGCGCGGTATAGGATGCAAGCTCGAGCTGCTGAACTTGCTGGGCGCCCTCCTCCATCTACTGATGACGAAGCTGGTGCGCAGAGACGCTTGGAGGCAGAGTCTTCCATAGTCAAATCAGAACAAGAGCGGCACGAGGCCATGACTCGAGATGTTGAAGACAGTGTCAAGGACTTTGTTTCGAGCCTGGAGGATGGACTGCGAGACCAAGGAGAGAACGCGACTCAGGAGCACGAGCGCAGGAGGTGGGAGGAAGCTCTGGGGGTGGAAGATCAGATCAAAGAACTCATCTATGACCTCCAACGTAGCAGCAGGACGGCGAAGATTCGCAAAGAGGAGTAAGAGCATGCAGACGTTAATGAAACACACAAAACTAACATGTGCAGGCAATCACGCTCAGCAAAGCAACCGCCTCGCGACTACTCGCACGAGGAAGCACAGTCAACGAATGGCAACTTGGCTTCGCGACCAGCCCCAACGTCAACCCCGTCCGCCGCTTCCGTGACAACAGGCCAGTCGCACCATGACCGCATTGCCTCTGCAAAGGAGAAAGCTCTAAAACGTGTCCAAGAGCGAATGGCGGCTGCTGGTCTCAAGCCCACTGTGGAGCCTAGTGAAAGTCCTCAGCAGCGGCAGGAACGTGAGAAGCAAGAGCGAGCCGAAAAACTCCGCAGGGCCGAGGCCGAAGATGCCAAACGCGAGCAAGAACGTCAGCAGAGACTCAACAATGAGGGAGTAGTTCCTCCGAGTCCGAAAGCTGACAAGAAGCCGCCTCCTCCACCCACTCGAAAGCAGAGGCAAGATAGCACAGATTTCTCCGCGAAGAAAGCCGCCGAGGCAGCAGCCCGCGCTAAAGCGGAAGAGGAAGCAGCGGCACAGATCAGGGCCGAGCAGGAGGCAGAGGCGCGTGGACGCGAACGGTTGGAGTGAGTACCTATTAATCATCTGGAGTGACTTCCACTGACACTTAGGCTAGGGCGCAAGCCAAAACGCAAGAAGACGAGCTTGAGAGGGAACGCGAGGCCGCTCAAGCCCGCTTGCGTGCGCTTGAAGAGCAAGTCAAGGCTGGTAAGGTCAAGAAACAGGAAGAAAAGGCTCGCAAGCGGGCAGCGGAGAAGGAGGCAAAGGAGAAGGAGGC